GTGTCTGCGTCGAGTGCGTCTGTGGCCTCCATTGCATGCACTACTCTCTCCTCAAACAGATCCTCTTTCACGTCATCCTTGCTGTCACTGACAACAGCACGGGACAGGGTATCAGCAACATGCATATCCTTGCCTGCTGTGTGGATGATTTTCAAGTCATAGCGTTGGAGCTGCAGTAGCATGCGCTGGAATCGTGCAGGTGCTTTGCTTAGATGTTTTTTTAGGGGCTTATGGTCAGATTGTACAGTCACTGTGTTGCCATACACATACTGGTGAAAGCGTTTGGTGGCGAAAGCTATTGCCAGCAGTTCTTTCTCTATCTGAGCATAATTCTTCTCAGAGTCAGTGAGTGCTTGTGATGCGTATGACAGTGGCCTACCTTCCTGCAGCAGACAGGTGCCGAGTCCATCTTTTCATGCGTTGCACTGTATGGTGAGTGGCTTGCTCCGGTCGTATAACTGGAGTACTGGGGCTTGCATGAGGGTGACCTTGAGCTTGTCCACTGCAGCAATGTGTTGGTTGCTCCAGTGCCAGGCAGCGTCCTTCCGAAGCAGCTCTCTGAGTGGGCTTGTTATCGTGGCTTCATTTGGGATGTATTGGCAGAGGTACCTTGTCATTCCCAGCAGTCTCTGTAGTGCTTTCTTGTCCTCTGGCTGCAGCATGTCTCTGATGGCGAACACCTTGGACTCGTCCGGCTTCACTCCCTTCGAGGTGACCATGTATTTGACTGAGTCCACTTTGTATTGAATTTTCTCCTTGTTGAATTTGATGTTGTTTTTCAGTGCAGTGTCCATGACTGTTTGCAGAATAGCATCATGCTCTTCCTCAGATGCAGCGGCGATGATCATGTTATCTGCAATGATGTGCACTCCTTTTATGCTGCCGAATGTCTCACAGTTCTTTTGTTGAAAGACCTCATTGGCGGACTTTATGCCAAAAGGAAGTCTCTTAAAACGAAACCTGCCTCACGGCGTGCTGAATGTGCAGAGCATCGAGGAGGGCTGGTCCAGACTCACTTGCCAGTATCTGTCCTTTTCATCTAGGATGGAGAAGATGGTTTTTCCTGACAGGCGGTGGAGTACTTCTTCTGGGGTTGGTATTGAGAAGCGCTGTCTCTTAATCGCCTCATTTAGGACACGAGGGTCCAAACACACCCTGAGTGACCCGTTTTTCTTTTATGTGATGACAAGGCTATTTACCCACTCTGTAGGCGCCGTCACTGGTGGGATGACATCTCTTTCGACGAGGTCTTCTAGCATGGTTTTTAGCCGGTCCATGACAGCGATGGGGATTTTCCTGCAGCAGTGCACAACTGGGATCACATGTGGGTCTGTGTGGATGTGATGCACCCCTGGAAACTGTCCCAGCCCACTGAAGACAGAGGGGTATGCGTCCACTAGCTCCTCTTTTGTGGCTGGTGTTTTGACTGCGATGGTCTGCATTCTTTTCACCAGCTGCAGCTGTTCACATGTGTCTTGGCCCAGGATCGGAGTGGAGGAGTGCTTGGTGACGAAGAACAAAAGATCTGACGTCGTTCTGCCCACATCACAGATAAGTCTCACGGTGCCCTCTGGCTTCAGACGTGTCCCTCCATAGGCAACGAGAGCGATGCGTTTTGGTTGCAGTTGATGAGGACCCCGAATCTTCTGCAAAATGCTCAGAGGAAGCACATTTGCATCTGCCCCAGTGTCCAATTTAAACTCGACCTCTGTGTTTTTAATGTCGGCTGTTGTGTACCACGAATTATCCTGCTGAGTGCGTTTGGGTTCAAAACAGGACATTGTCGATATGAACAGTGACTCCACCTCAAGATCGTGCACGCCCCGGGCAGTGGCTCCTCTGTCTTGTGTTGATGCAAAACTCTTCGTGTAGTGGTTCTTCTTGTTACAGTTGTGACAGATGACCCCGAACGCTGGACACTGACGAGGTTTGTGCACCCCGCCGCATTTTCTGCATGTGTCTTTCTCTCAGTTGGTCGTGACATTTTTTTCATGGAGACTCTTCCGTTCTCGTAGCTGGCAGACACCTTATGGAAAGCTTCCACGGACGCCTCAGGCTGAGCTGATCTCATAGCTCGCATCTGTGATTTAGTGACTTCAGCTGCTCTACAGATATCGACAGCTTTATCCAGAGTAAAGTCCGTTTCTCGTAGTAATCGCTCTTTCATGCGAGCGTCTGGCACAGAAAACACGACCTTATCCCTGATCACGTCATTCTCTGTTAGTCCAAACTCACAGTTCTTACACTTTTGACGATGTTCAGTCATAAACTGATCTACGTTGGCTCCCTCAGACATGGGTAGGGACCAGAACTGGTGACGCTCGAACACAATGTTTTTTTTCGGTATGCAGTACTTTCTGAACGCATCCAAGATGTCCTTCATTGTTAGCTCACCAGGCTGTCCATCCTCACCTTGTTCCACAAACACATCCCGGGTGTTGTAGATTTCTAGTGCTTCCTCACCGATCGTGTGTAGTATGATGGCCATCTTCACTGGTTCAGTTCCCGTAGCCGTCATGTACAGCTGAAAACGTTGCTCCCATTGGCACAATTCTCGCTGATGTTGCCGGTTAGCACTAGCGGGGCTGGAGGCTTGAACTGATCCAATGTAGCCTAGCTCTGGCTAACGCTAACATTCGGTCACTCAAAGACATTTAACTAAACTTTCCTTACCACAGCGGAGGATTTAACGTAAACTATTGTAGTCTCGCAGCTCATGTAGACTACGAAAATACCTCTTCTGACACCATGTTGTGTACTTCTGACACTAATAAAATAAACGGTGAGGCTTATTTTCTGGTGAGGCACTTTTCATGTAACTTTTATTGCAGCTCGCCAACAACACACACTGAGCCCAAGACCAAACATATCGAACACTGAGTGATGTGTTTCTCATAGGGTAAACCAATCGATCACAGATGATCCAGGTCATTCTAACAATATACTACAGTGCTCATTTTGAGCCTGGATCCATATTTATTTTTGATTCTGTTCATGGTGGACAATCCTGCTTCACAGCAGAAGGTAGAGTAAACATACTCAAAATGTGCAGGTTCATCTTTGAGAACACACTGTTTCACTTTTCTTTCAAAAGCACTTTTTCCAATAGTCCACACTTTCTTTCACGTTTTCCCATCATTTTTACCCACCCCCGGCTTGCCACAGGTTTGCCTGCTGTGTCTAAAAGTAGCTAGCAGCAACAGCCCTGATTGACACAGCTCATTGGCTAATATGCATCACGTGAAGCCTGGTCCCGGAGGGATTTACTGTACGAACAGCAGAAGGAGCGCAAGTGAAATTAGACACTGCCGTCGGACAACATGTGGTAATCTATAAATGTTAAATCAGGTTAGGTCCGGATTAGCCAGCAGGTCCGCTAATCCGTGACCTCTGCTCTAAAACATTCAAACAAAAAGGACTGTTGTTAGATATATTACACAGTCTAAAAAGAGATAAAATAGATTTAAAAAAAATAAAACACTTCTACAGAGCTGAGAGAGAGAGTAATAACTTATTTGACAACATAACATATTTTAAAAAATTTATGTTGAAACTGAAAAACAATACTGTCAGAATCAAATGTTAAACTATCTTTTGAAATCTAAAAAACCAAAAAGTATTGAAAGTAAAAAGAAGAAAAACTAGAATTTCTACCAATTTAAAATAATTTAGTTTTTTTATTTATTTCTTTATTTACTTTATTCCACTTTTAGGTTAAAACCTAAAAATTCATTTTTCTTCTCTATTTCTGTTTATGTTTAAACCCAAAATCTTCACTTTTAAACCTTTTGCTCTAATTTAATCAGGCTTGTGGGGACTCAGATGTCAGGGGAGTTGGATTTATTTACACATTTCACACAAAATCACAATAACCTCTGGGACTCAGAACTTGTCTCCTTCTTGAACAGTGACTAAACATTCTCAAGGGGTTAGACCTGCAAAAAATAATATAAATTTTCCCATGATTGAAGTGTTTGAGGTAGTATCTCTACTACTTGTAACTCGTGTACTGAAAGCATTTCAGTACAATTTCTCTCATTATGCTAAAATGTACTAAAGAGAAATTAAGTCATATACTGAGGGATTTTAACCCTTAATGTTGAAATCAAAAAAATAATACAACATACAAACATAGCATTTAATACTATCTATCTATCTATCTATCTATCTATCTATCTATCTATCTATCTATCTATCTATCTATCTATCTATCTATCTATCTATCTATCTATCTATCTATCTATCTATCTATCTATCTATCTATCTATCTATCTATCTATCTATCTATCTATCTATCTATCTATCTATCTGTCTGTCTGAATTACTAATTACCATTACTAATGTCAGTATTACAGAGATTTGTTCACAAATCCGTGAACTCAGTGGCCACATCTCAATTCCTTTGCAACTTGAGCTTTTTCTTCAGTGAGCTACAACCTTTGTACTGTATTTCATACTCTTTGCTATCCCAGTCTAATCCTTTGTGAAATAGAATCTTTACAAAAGCTTATCTTCCCTTTTATTGCTTAACTATAGTAAATCCTTATTTACCCCAAGCACACATCCTCAGAAACGTATCATCACTGTCAATGAGCAAAAACTTCCGAGCAAAGGCTTTGAGTGAGTTTGACAACTGTAATAAAAAGAAAATCTAAGAATAATTCAATATTTAATGAATATTTATTGACAGGTTTTTCCATCTCTCAGAAAAATCTTCTTTACAACCGAAATGAGTTGCTGGGATAGAGATATTAAAATGTCATAAAAACTGCCTATGCACCTTTAATATTTTAATATAATCTTCATTTAATATAATTTTGACTAATATTTTTTTTAATAATCATTTTTATTTTGTTACGTTTTAGTGCCTGACCCTCCTTAGCAGGCATTACTTCACAGATAATCCACTAATGATGTCCCATTACAGCTGTAGGATTCACACAAACATAATAAAAAAAACACAGAGAAGTGACTCAGCTCAGTTTTGGAGGGAGGGGGTAATCAATGTTTCCATACAGAGCATAGGAAGGAACCTGTTTTTGTTTTTTTTCTCTGTACATTATTTAATCTTCAGTGGGCTGTGAGCTTTATCAGGAGATGTTGCCTCATTTTCTAATTTACTGTTTGCTGAAACCTTCAGCCTGATAATTAATGTATGAGGGAAAATGCTCTCAGTATTATTACAATGTGTTCAGCCAGTAGATTGGAGGCTGTGGTTAAATTAAATGTTTTACTTTTGGGTGAAAAGCTTTAACTAAAATCATAATCTTTCTTTATGTCTGACTGTTGAGAATGTGAAACGGCATGACTAACTCTTCACAGGTTTTTTTTTTTTCTTTCACTGCTTATATCAACTCCTGGGGTTTGACCTATTTGTATTTCACTGTCATCTTGATTTTGTATGCCTTCATAGTCTTCTCTAACGTCCTGCTCATTGTTGTGATCTGTTCAAACAGGAGCTTACATGAACCCATGTACATGTTTCTCTGCAGCCTGTTTGTCAATGAACTGTATGGCAGCTCAGGCTTGTTTCCCTTCTTGCTGGTTCAGATCCTCTCAAATGTCCACATTATTTCTGCTCCGCTCTGCTTCCTTCAGGTTTTTATGGTCCATTCTTACGGGGCAGTTGAATTTTTAAACTTAGCAGTTGTCTCGTATGACCGTTACCTCGCTATCTGTTACCCTCTGCAGTACAACAACAAAATGACACCCAAAAAGATTGCCGTACTGATTGCTGTAGCCTGGTTGTATCCACTTATTATTGTCTCCTACATTATGCCTCTGCTACTGGTGAAGCTGTGTGGGAACCAGATAAACAAAGTGTACTGTGATGTTCATTCTGTGGTTAAACTGGCCTGTACGGAAAGGGCCATCACGAACATTTTTGGACTCACTGCTACATTCAGTACTATCTTGGTCTCGTTGCTTCTGATTCTATACACCTACATCAAGATCCTTGTTGTGTGTTTCTCTGGATCCAAACAAACCCGTCAGAAAGCCTTGAACACCTGTACACCTCACCTGGCCTCCATCTTGAACTTTTCCTTCGCTGGTAGCTTTGAGATCTCTCAGAGCAGATTCAACATGAGCTTCCTGCCAAATTTTCTGCGTATTTTCCTCTCGCTTTACTTCCTAACTGCACAGCCTCTTTTTAACCCACTGATGTATGGCCTGAAGATGTCTAAAATAAGAAATGCTTGTAAAACTCTAGTTCTGAATGTAAACCAGTGACACAAATGTATTGTATTTACACAACATTAACCTATAGTAGCAAAGAAAAGGAATCTTTGTAGACCCAGACCAGACAAATAACCAATTATTTTATTACTCTTTAAGAAGCATTTTGTTCAAAAGGATCAAAATAGTATATGAAAACCATATTTTTACAAAGTGAGTCTCAGTTAAAGGTTATTTGGACCAAAAAAAGATGGTGAAGAAAGTCCACTCATTTTGATGCTTCATGCTGGAGGATTTTTTCATGGGTTCAAAATTGCTTTTGATTTCTTTTTATAGGTTTTCTGATGCATCTATATTGTTAAAAAAAAAGAATTTCGATCTTTTTGATGGTGTAGATATGAGTGGAAAAAGAAATTAGAATAAAGAAGGAACTTCCTGGAGAAGCATTAGTTTCCTCTGGCTGCTCTCTTTTTAATAAACCCTGAAGATTTTTAGCCTTATTTAAAGTGTGACAAAAGAAAGTTTTGATGTTTATAAACCAAGATTTTGCTTAGATCTGCTAAAACACTAGGGGGCCGAAAAGAAGTACATACAGTCTAATGCAACCTTATTTATACAACTGATGTATTTACAAAGTCTGATATTCACATTAAGTTGTAACTATTAAGTGAAATTGAATAACCAAACTAAATTAATATGTTACTTGTCAAATAACTTCATCTTGTTACAATACATTTTTTCCCCTGTCTGTTGGTTCTGATGGAGAATTAAAATAACTCTTTAAAAGAAATGCAGAGCTGGTATTATTGGACAATAGTACAATTCAACACTGCTTTTTTTAGTAAATTTTATGGAAAATGCATGGAAGGTATTGCACTGGGCTGGTTTCAAGACTTCTTGAAGGACAGGGAATTTTTTATGAGACCACAAAAATTACATTAAATTCAATTCAGTTTATTTCTATAGCGCCAATTCACAACACGTCACCTCAAGGCACTTGATAGTTCACCAGATCATACAGTCAAATTGATTCAAAGTTTTCTATCTAAGTAAAGCCAGTTGATTGCATCGATTAATTGACTTAAATGCAATCCCTCACACTAAGCATGCTTGTAGTGGAGAAGAAGAATTCCATTTTATCAGAAAGAAACCTCCAGCAGAACCAGGCTCAGTGTGAGCGGCCATCTGCCGAGGACGACTGGGGTTTAAGGAGACAGAAGCAGATATAGTACAAAAAGCAGCTGTAAAAGGCGGCCCCGTCCAGGAAACATAGCCAGGCAGACGAGCTCTGAGCCAAATTCCATGTCATAGGATGAAGAGAGCACATCCAGCCAGTCACAGTCAGAGAAACAGGACTACACTGAAAAACAGGCAAATCTCGGACATCTATAAACAAAGGTATTGATGGCAGCAACACGATTGATATTTTTCTCCAGGATGGAGTCACAGCCAAACAGGAACAGGCCAGATGAAGAACAGATTCTGCAGACTGGGAGCATAGAGATAGAATGAAGCAGAATGATGAAATAGGGGTCCCTATGGCCTTCAGCAGTCTAAGCCTATAGCAGCATAACTATAGAGATAGCTCAGGATGACCTGAATCCCTCTAACTATAAGCTTTATCAAAAAAGAAAGTTTTAAGCCTAGCCTTAGAAGTAGACAGGGTGTCTGCCTCACGGACTAAAACTGGTAGTTGGTTCCACAGGAGAGGAGCCTGATAACTAAAAGATCTGCCTCCCATTCTATTTTTAGAAATTATAGGAACCACTAGAAAACCGGCAGATTGAGAGCAAAGTGCTCTTTTAGGAACATAAGGAACAATCAGATCTCTGATATAAGATGGAGCTTGGCCATTTAAGGCTTTATATGTTAGAAGGAGGATTTTGAATTCTATTCTTGATATAACAGGAAGCCAACAAGGAGAAGATAGGATAGGAGAGATATGATCTCTATTTTTAATTTTCATCAGAACTCTGGCTGCAGCTGAAGGATCAGCTGAAGGCTTTAACTACATTTTATGGACTTCCTGATAGTAAAGAATTACAATAGTCCAGCCCTGAAGTAACAAATGCATGGACTAGTTTCTCAGCATCACCCCTGGATGGGATATGTCTATTTTTTACAATATTCCTCAGATGAAAGAAGGAAAATCTAGAAAGCTCTTTGATTTGAAATTTAAATGACAGGTCCTGATAAAAAATAACACCAAGAGTTTTTACTTTATTATCTGAAATCAGTTTAATCCCATCCAAATGACCAAAGACTATAACTTCCGTAGAAAGTAAAGAGCCATCCAGGTTTTTATGTCTTCAACACAGGCCTTTGATCTATGTAATGGGTTAGCTTCATCTGGATTTATAGACAGATATAGCTAAGTATAATCAGCATAACAGCAGAAATTAATCCCATGCTGTCAAATAATTCTACCAATTGGGAGCATATATAGTAAAGAGAATTGGTCCTAGCACTGATCCCTGTGATACTCCACAGGTAACCGTTGAGCATGAGAAAGATGGAACATGTGCTGTTCCACATTAGTTCTTTTTAGGGCCATTTTTATTCAATATCTACATGCTCCCAATAACTCAGATCTTCATAAATAACGTAAGTTACTGTAGAGGGGTGAAAAGCCAGTTTTTAGTGGATAAAACAAAGAAGTTGGAAAACAGGCACCCCAACATTATTTTTTTCGTTTTGTGTCTTTGATTTCTCATTTTATTAGATTATATGGTGTTATTCATTTAGTCCATGTAGTTCTGGCCGCGGCTGCTAGGGGGCGCTGACACGTTGGCGGCATGAAGAAGACTGAACACACAAGAAGAATAATTCTTCCGGTTGAAGGTAAAGAAGCTCAACATGTGTGTTTCGTCTTTCTCATATCACAGCACCACATGTTGAGGGAAGGTCATCATACACATTACCCTCAGCCATCCGAGGTTGCAGGGTAACAAATTTGGGGGCTCGTCCGGGATGGCACCTCCTGCTGGCTTGGTGCTATCTAAAAAAAAAAAAAGAACCTTGGGATCCTGACCTTATGTTACATGAACTGATGCTCTAAGGGCAAGACATCAGGTATCCAGAGATGACGACGCTACATGAGCTTCAGTGGGAGATCCAGCAGCTGCTTCACCAACTGATTGATGATGCCAGAAGAGAGCTGCTTCACTAACTGGCAGTATCGTGCCAAGATGAGGTGGGAGAAGACGCGCCAGGGGAGGAATCGTCCGAAGTAGAACTCTATGACTTCATTGTTGACTTTTTAAGAAGTAAACGATTGAGGAATTTGGAGGTCCAAGGGATGTCGCGCCTGCTGGTGTTTCGTGACCTCGTTGATGAGCTACTGTCAGCACAAGAAACAGAGAACCCGCATCATTCAGTGGATGTAGAGAAAGTGGTATCAGTGAACGAGACTGAGCAGATTGTAGCAGCATCAGCATTGAGTAAGACAGTGTCATCACCAGTTGTTGCTGATCAGGTAACCGGGTTAGTAAAATTGACAAATGTTGCTGCATTACTTCCACGAAGAGAATTTCGGATTCATGCTGGTCAGATTTTAGATTCTGACTCAGATGTGAGTTTTAACTGTTTGTGTAAGCAAATTGATGAAGGATTGAGTGAAGGTTTCACTGAGGCTGAGATTATTAGGACAGTTCTCAGAATAATTAAACCGGGTACATTTAAAGACATGCTGATCACAAAAGATACTCTGACTGTAACTGAGCTGAAGCGTTTTCTCAGAGCGCACCTTAAAGATAAGAGCAGTCCTGAATTATTTCAAGAACTGAGCAACGCAAGACAACATGATAAAGAAGGTCCACAACAGTTTATGTATAGACTGATGGGGTTAAAACAGCGTGTGCTTTTTGCTTCTAAAGTAAGTACAGGTTTCCAGTATGACAAGAAATTTGTTCAGGGAGTGTTCCTACATTCACTCTATCAGGGCATACATGAAAAATATTCATATGTCCGACAAGATCTCAAACCCCACCTTACAGATGAGAAAGTCACTGATGACTTTATCCTAGAAGTGATAACAAAGTCAGTAGGTGAAGACACAGAGAGACAGAATAGACTAGGCCAGGCTCTCAAACCAAAAGCAGTTAGCGTCAGTACAGTGCAGATGGACAAGAAAAGTCAGAATGCAGTTCAGATGCAGGCAGAAGTCCAAGCTAATCGTACTGCCATACAAGAGCTAACAGCACAGGTTTCATCACTGACCAAAAGTTTAGAAAAGGCTTTAACACCTATTGTTGGTTAAGGCAGTGAAAACATTCACACACATTTTCCCCACCAAAACCAGCCAGCAAAGTCAGAAGCTAAACGAAGATGTCAGCAATGTGTCTCCCAAGGAAAGGATAGCTGTAGCCACTGTTTCAAGTGTGATAAAGAGGGACACAGAGCAATTGGCTGTCTGATGAAGAACAATCTGTCGGGAAACTGGGCGAGGTCGCTGGGACGGGACCATCAGTGACCAGAGCGAAAGCAGGGTCCCATCTCACTCCAAAGCTGCATCCTCAAGAGGGCGCACCATCGTCTGCCAGGCTCATCAAACAAAATAGCTCTACTAAGAAGAAACATGTTGCCCACCTGATTGGTGGTAGATGCACTGTGACATGCCAACTAAATGGGGCCGAGTTGCAGATGCTATTGGACAGTGGGGCACAAGTGAGCATAGTGGAGAAGTCATGGGTGCAGAAAGCTCTACCAAATGTAACAATCCAGCCACTTGAGAGCCTACTACCAGAACACCCTCTCAAAGTCACAGCAGCAAATGGAACAGAGGTGCCATTTGATGGATGGATAGAAGTCCGACTCGAAATCAAAAGTATCAGATATGGTTCTGTGGCTCTCTATGTTCCGTTGCTTGTAAGTCACGAGAGTATAAGCAGCCCATTGTTAGGTTTTAATGTGATACAAGAAATCATAATGGGAAACACTGACCAGAAAAAAAAGCAACTTGGTGGACTTACTGTCAGAGGCTTTGAGAATTCAAAAAAATAGTGTTGAAACTCTAGTCTCTGTGGTTTGCACTATGCCGTCTCAGGAAGAATCAGGGAGTTCAGCAGTGAGAGTTGGAAAGAAGAGTCTTAATGTTCAAAGTGGGCAAATCTGTGAAGTGAAATGTCGCATTAGAACACTTCCAGGAGGAGGAGTAAGGTTGTTTGAACCAGCATACAGAGTATCCTGCCAGACGGGCTGGAATTATTTCCTGCTTTGGTTGACGTACCTGTTGGAGCTTCAAAAATGGTGAAAATTCCAGTCCAGAATTCAACCAACCATGACATTTTCTTACCTCCAATGACAGCTTTAGGAGTCCTTGAGGAAATTGATGGAACCAAACCTTTAAACATCTCTCTATCACCTCATGAACACGTTAGTGGACAGAATGATCCACCCTTGTGCGCCACCCATGTGAACTTGCTAAATAATGGGGACTCCACTAAAAAGGGAAACCACACACCTGCTCATGAACAAGAGAAATGGCATCCAAATGTTAATCTGGATCATCTCCCTGAGCATGAACAGGATATGGTACACCACAAGTTGTATGAAGAATTGGATGTGTTTGCATCTGAAGAAGGCGACATTGTATGTATTCCTGGTTTACAGCTCCAGATT